GAAAATAAATCTGATGAAGAATGGGCTTTTGAGCATGAGATGGTTTGTGGCTTTATTCGACAATGGGTAGATGATAATGTTTTGAATCATATTGCTAATGATTCACATGCCAGAACCTTGTGGGATAAGCTTGAGACTTTGTATGCCTCTAAATCTAGGAACAATAAATTATTTCTGCTGAAACAGGCTATGAATTTGAGGTACAATGTACTCCTATTTCTGATCACATAAGTGAATTTCAGGGGTGCTTTGATCAATTGTCCGACATGGGTATTAAATTTGAAGGTGAAATTTTGGGACTTTGGTTACTTAATACTCTACCTGACTCTTGAGAAAATTTGCGCGTGACTTTGTCCAGTTCTGCTCCTGGTGGTGTAGTGACCATGGAATATGTAAAAACTGTTGTTTTAAATGAAGAAGTCAGACGACGAACTCATCAAGCATCATCTTCTCAGTTAGAGGTTTTAATTACTGAAAACAGGGGGAGAAACAATAATAGAGACCAAGGACAAGGTAGTAGAGGTAAAACTAAGGTTAGAAGCAAATCAAGGTCTAAGTACAAAAACCTTGAATGCAACTATTGTGGTAAAAAGGGACATATCAAAAGATTTTGTTTTCAGTTGAAGAATGACAATAAAGGTAACAAAGGTAAGTAGCAAAATAAAGATAATGACAATGATAATCGTGTTGTCACCACCACTGTAGGTGATCTTGTGATTGTCTGTGATGAGAATTTGATTAATGTTGCTTGTGATGAGATAAGTTGGGTTGTTGATAGTGGTGCCTGTTTTCATGTTACATCAAGAAAGGATTTTTTCACATCTTATACTCCGGGTGATTATGAGGTGTTAAATATGGTTAATAATGGTTTGTCAAAGGTGATGGCATTGACGCTATTTGTCTAGAAACAAATAATGGGATTGAATTGATTTTGAAAAATGTCAGACATGCACTAGACATTCGTTTGCATCTGAATTGATTTTGAAAAATGTCAGACATGCACCAGACATTATTATTTATTATTTATAATTAATAATTAATAATATTAATAATAATCATTAATGAATATTCATAAATGCAAAATAATAATTTAAATAGAAGAAATAATTATTATACTTGGTTGGAAATCAATTTTCTTTACAATAATAATCACTATTAATAAGAACAATAATAACAATTATAAAAATCACTAATTAAAAATAATAGTATTCTTTAAATAATTAATTTAAGTCAATATTTTAAAAGGAATAATCTTAAATAAATATTTCATTGATTACTAACATAGTTAATAATATTATTAAATAACAAAAAAGATTAATTAATTTCTAAAATAGATTAAAAATTCGTAAATGTGCTTAAACTATTACAAATTTATTAAATAATGAATTAGCTTAAAATGATTAAAAATTAATAAATGAATTATAAATGAAAATAATAAAAATGACTAAACAATTAATACAAATGTTGGAAATCAAACTTGAGTGAATTTTCCCATACTAACCCATTCACTAGCTAATTCAATTTCTTAATTCAAATATAAATATAATTATTAAATAAATAGTGAAACTCAAATAAAATAATATTACTGTAATAAACAAAAAAGTGTAAAAACCAAATGATACATACATGTGACTGCCCCGTAACGGGGTCAAACACTAGATAAAATATGGTAAGTCTCTTAAATCAAATAAAAATTATCAAAAAATCAAATGAAAAACCTAACCTAAAATTTTAATATAATTGATTTAAAAAATAAAAATTTAAAATGGTTCATATTAATGACCCTGTACTAAGTATGGGGTCATGCCTAGTTCAATCACAAATGAAGTACATTTTTTGGATTCGACGATGATACTGGACAGATATGACACCAGAAAAACTTATAACCAATCAACTTGGCATCACAAAAGTGCAATCAATCAAGTGGGTATTGATCAAAATTTATAGAGGTTTTGAGTGCTGGTCAAATCCTTTCCCGTATCATGTCTTTCTGGTATCATGTATTTTTCCTTTTTTTTTCAATTTTTGGCTACATGGTGATTTTATAACACGTGCCAAAACTTGGAAATTGGTAAATTCGAGTTTGCAAACCCTTCATTCTTAAGCCTAGTCTCAAATCAACTAGAAGAAGAAGAAGAAGAAGAAGTGACACCCTTATAAAGATAATTGCAAATGAATGTGCCACTTGGCTAATCTTTTTAGAAAGGTTTTCTAAGTTCTAACAGCCCAAATGGCCAAAGATGTAATGAGCTTTTGGGTGTTGTCTTTAAAGATCTATACCATTTTGTAAGTATCCTAGTCTAACATAGTCTACCAAGTTGTTAGGCACAGAAAAACAATAAGTTTCTTTTTGCCATCTTGGACTTTCATTAACTTTTTAGGGCATAGGTCTTTCTAACTTGTTTTCATTGTCAGAGAGGAAAATGACTGAACTTTGATCTTTCAGAGCTTTGAAAAGTCTTTAAGACCCGACCAAAAGGCTTGTCAAACACCCTGAAATTAGCTTGAATACTATCCATGAATAATAGTATCAAAAAAATAAAAATCTATAAATTCAACTTTGTGAAAGCTTATGGAATGTCCCCATCTCAAAGGCCTAAACGCTTCCTTGAAACTAAATTTATATAAATTGTGGTAATAACTTACTCTAAATCATGTTCCCAATGGTAATAAGTTCATGATTTTGGTTGGAGATAAAAAGATAAATATAGGAGAAGCCCTATCTATATTACAACCTTCACTCTAATTTCTAAAACTCCCTGACTGATGGTTACAGTGTCCCTAGCATAAATTAGTACAAATTAAAGAACCATTTCTTTTTTAATCTTTAAAAAAAAAAATAGAAAAAGCAAAAGGAAGGTAAAAATAAAGTGATCTTAGACAAAGAATAAAACAACTAACTGACCTCAATAACCATTCAACTGGAGAAAAAATGATAATGTTTAATGCCAATCATTAAATAAAATACTTAAGATTTACAACCACTTGAATTTTCATGGCAATATATTTTTATAAATAGCGTGGAGTGTTATGATTGATTTCACAGCCGGCTGAAAAGGCATCCTATTCAACTAACGCATTAGTAAAAAGGATGCAAATAACAGAAACAAATATGATATCCATCGCTTTCACAAATCACAATAGACATAAATTGGCTCACGGGATCTACCCATACGATCTCCTTTTTACATTTTATAAAGAAAGACTTTCCGATCTATCGGCAATTCGAAACGTGGGTGCAAGGCTCGACGCCAAACTCGGGAGTTTCAACATTATTTCACCATCATATCTAATCAAAACCATTCCATCCGTTGATTTCATTAATAATTGCCCCGGCCCCTACCACATCAATCACCTTTGACTTTAATGCTCTCAAATCCCTTCCCCGCGACCGCAAGAAATAATTATAATAACCTCTTCTACCCCAAAATATATTAAAACAAAATAGTATATTGCGCTACATAGTCGACACGTATAAACACCGTTGAACTCTTAGAATTTAACCCCCACTGTACTGGGGAATGGGGGATGTATTCTCACCGTGGATTATGTCAAATTCAGTTTGTAGAGGGGCTACTAATAGTCAGTCCCACTATTGAGAGTTATCGTTCATAATTTGTACTTAACCCTTTTATTTATTATTTATTATAAGATGGTAGGCACACACTAGTCACTTGCCAGTGGTGCACAAAATATCAAATTTCACGTTTTCCTTTTCCGCCGTACTATGTGTTTTTTTATTTTTTCCGACCAAGTTATTTTTAATTCCACTTTGGTATCTCAACTTTTGGGTAGTGTCTAATTATCATTCTAACTTTTAAATGTATCACTATAGTATCTAAATCTTAAAAAAGTGTTAATTTGGTCCCTGCCGTTTACTTATTTTTTGAAAATGTCAAAACTATCTTTTAAAGACTAAATTAATTATCTTTAAAGAAAAAGAGAAAAAAAAATATGAAATATAATAAAAGAAAACAATTATCTAAAGCAAAAAGATAACTAGACAAGAATGTATTTCACATCTAAAGATAAAAGATAATGACTTTATTGGTTTAGAATCTCAAACACTTCACCTGGTTCAATCTCAAGATAAAAGACAATAAACAATGTCTTCTTTTAAAAAATAATTTTAATATTTTCAATAAATAATTGACCATACTTTTAAAATTTTAAAAGTTTGAATACTAAACTTTACACTACCCCAAAATTCAGGGTACTAAACTGAAAATTCTATTTCCGATCAAGTCGTAACGTCAGGTAGGAATGTTTTCTTGTATTTTTAAGAAAAGAGCCTTAGAGTCATTTCGTAACATACAAGTTGAACATCATTAAATCGGATTTGGTCCACCTACTGATATTCATCTTCACACCGTCCTGACAGCCCCATGCAGCCGTATATTGAGGATATCTTTATCGAAAAAGTACGGACAGATGGTTCTCTGATGATCAAATCCGAATTGAAGCCCACGAATTCCGCGGGAACCGGGTGGGGTGGGGTAATGGGTCAATGCCTCAAGGGTGGGATATACTAGAAACAGGTTTTGTACATCCGGCTATGTTAGCCAATAAAAGTGAAAACTTCATCAGTGTTCTGTAGAGGTCATACAAGGGTTCGATGACTTGTGAAATCTACCATTAAATGCGGGATGGTGGAACTGGAGAAGGTTGTTTACGTGTGTACCTAGAAGCAGTGATCACCGGTCACCGATCACCCTTGCAGTGGACTGTGGAGTCCTTCGTGCAAGGATGAAGGAGCAGATCCGGTCGAAGTAAAACTCGTCGGGAATGGTCGAGAAACTACGAATACAAACTTGACAGCTGTGAGGCGTACGAAACGTATGAATTGTATGTAGGACAAACACAAGGTGGGCCCCCTTGTCTCTTCCTTCATCATATTTAACCCTTTAATCAATGGAGTTTATTTTTCTGATCAACGTTTTAATTTTTTTTTTTTCGTTGGTAAGTGAAAGACAGCAACGGTTTGCCTATTTAAACCCCCTCCCTCCACGCTTCTCCTCCCCCCATCCTCTCCCGCCTTCATCCATCCTCGCTCATTGCTTCTGTTCCACCTCTACTGCATCCTCCATTTCACCATCTCTTGCTCTCTCTCTCTCTCTCCCCTTCTCTGGCCCTCTTTTGCTTTCTCTCAGCTATTGGGCCATCTGAAACTGGTATTTTATTGTCCTGAAATGTAAATTTTAGGTGCTTTTTTTTTTCTTTTTCTTGCTTGCGGTGGTGTTCGAGTTTCCCCTTTGAACTTACAGATTTCAATGCTGGAAGTTTGTTCATTTTTTTATGTTTCATATTTACCTTTAATATGTAGTTTGTCTCTTGGGGATTCAGAAAGACTTATGTTCTGTAATCATGCTTCAATTCCTGGGAGTTAATATTCAATACTTTACTTAAAAGGTCTTAGTGTTGGACCGGATGATAGAATGAACACCAAGTTCCCTTCTGGTGTTTTTCTCTTTTAGTAATTATCTGGAGGACAAAATAATCCTATTATATTTGGGAGGCTTTCATTTTATGATCATGAATCTAAGTTATTGCTTCATATGGTGTTCATCACTCGAAGCCTCGCCCTTGCATGTTTTAGCCTTTTAGGTTTCCCGCTTCATTTGTTCTAGTATAAATTGCGGATTATGAACTGGATTATTATTTTGGGTCTCTTTCTTTCTTTCGTCTTTTTCCGCTTCATGTGCTTTCAGTTAATTGTTTCCCATTTGCTTGTATTTGTTTGATATATCTGTAAGTTTATAGGCATTTTTAGGCTGTCTTCTCATTAGTTGGACCAACAGATTGATTCAGAAACCTTATTCTAGGAAGGGGTTAATCTGGTGATGAATTGTTATTTTTTTCTTTATAAAGCATAGGAGATGAGATCACATACAGACCAAGGTCGAGATTGAAGGTGGTGGTGAACGGAGAAGTCTTTCCTCTGAATCTTTCAGGCCCACCATGCCTCCAATCTCAACCACTCGACAGATTTGAGGTTGATATATGAGACTCAAGAATCAACCACGTCAAATGACCCTCCTCGACCTTTCCTAGTAGCTTCCTTTCAGTTTCAGCCATTTTTTAATATACAGCTTTATATGCCAAAAGCTTAGCGCAAGTGTGGTCTGAGTTGTATTTCATTTTTTTAAGTAGTATTGTTATGTAAAAAGCACATTTCCTTTGCATGAAGTTCCTCCTTTTGTTTTGATAAAAATATATCATTTAATTAGTTCTTTTGAGTGATTGGCGGCTGAACTGAACTTCTAATATTTAATTAGTTCTTTTGAGTTCCAGAGTCTCAGAACTATATTCAACTCAACTCGAATTATTATTATTTTTTTTTAATTCACCCAGTACCGGTTCAAGGGTTGTCTTGGCTCCTTTAATCTTATAGTGGAAATCTGAGTTAATGCTGTCAAGACTTGATGATTTTGCAAAAACATGATAGAATTCTGGAAATCAGGACGATTATTCTAGTGTTATCATGGATTCATGTCCATCTTATACTGGTTCTAACATACCTCTGTTCTATTGTGAAGCTTCTTAATTAAAAATGGAATACGAGGGCCGATATCAACAAGCTCAGAGACCTAAATATGACTGCCTTCTCTTTGGTAACGTTATTTTTTTACCTGGATTTTTGGTTGTCAAAGTGAACTGTTAGCAAAATGAGTTTAATTCATATTGGGTTTTATATTTCAGACCTGGATGATACCCTTTATCCCCTGAGTTCTGGTTTGGCAATGGAATGCCGCAAGAACATTGAAGGTATGCATACACAGTGCTTGTTTTTCAACTAATTACAAATCATTAAATTGCCTCTGCTGATGAATTTCCCGTGGATGCCTCTTCCTAGATTATATGGTTCAAAAGCTTGGCATAGAGCAGAGCAAAATCCCTGATATGTGTAATCTGTTGTACAAGAACTATGGAACAACAATGGCAGGTCTCAGGGTACGCCTTTTATCCTCCTGCCCATAATATTCTAAACAAGAATATACAAATAACCCATTTATGAATTCTATCTTTTGTTTTTTCTTGCAGGCCATCGGATATGACTTTGATTATGATGATTACCACGGGTAACAATTTTCTCCTTCCTTTCCTTTTTTTACCTTCTTTGTTGCTGTGTTTCTTTTGTTCTGTATATCGATTACCAAGGTGATATGAGTATGACCTTCCTCTGTCCTGTTTTACAGTTTTGTTCATGGAAGATTACCATATGAAAATCTAAAACCAGACCCTGTTCTAAGGAATCTCTTGCTAAGTCTACCTATTCGGAAAGTTGTAAGTTCCATATCTCTAATGGAAAGTCCTCTACTCCTCTGTATAGCTTATCTGCCAAGCTTTCTTCTGATTAACATCTTCCCTTCCCTGTAAAACAGATATTCACAAACGCAGATAGGATCCACGCTGCCAAAGTTCTTAGAAAACTTGGATTGGAGGACTGTTTTGAAGGGATTATTTGCTTTGAGACCCTGAATCCAACACACAAGCACTCAGTTTCTGACGATGAGGATGCGTCTGAGTTCGGAGATTCAAAACCAACTACCACTGCCTGCACTGAATACTTTGACATTATTGGTCACTTTTCTCAGGCTCATGCTGGATCAGAACTGCCAAAGACACCAATTGTCTGCAAGCCATCTGAAAGTGCCATTGAAAGAGCACTGAAGATAGCCAACATCAATCCCCAAAGAACGGTAAGATAATCAAATAATAGCGAGAAATCAGTGGATCTATAAATTTTGTTTCTTTTTTGGAGGGAAAGGGGCAGGGTTTCTCGTAGGTTCCTGTCAGGTAAAACACAAAGCCTGGTCTATATCTACATACCAACAGAATTGACGTTCTGTTCTGTCGGATCTTCTGGTGAATTGTTTGACTAAAATATTGACCCAACTATGGTTGTAAAGCATTGAATCCATGGATGTATGCCTGAACCGTTCATCCATTTCTTTCTTGATCATGGGAAGAAATGTAACAGTGGCTACCATTTACAAATTAAAAAAAGGCAGAACCATTAAATAGTGAGTTTGAAAGCCTTGCCTTTACAGTCTTACGGGGTGATTATATTCCTCGAGAAGTAGAATTTGTCTTTCTTTTCAAACATTTCTTGCACAGAAAGCATATTCATATGCTGATTGGAGTGAATTCTTTCTCTTTCAGATGTTCTTTGAAGATAGTGTCCGTAACATACAATCAGGAAAACGTGTGGGTCTTCATACTGTGCTGGTAAGTCACCTGAAAAATCTGTGGCATGACTATGGCCTTAAATGGGGAGGATTCTATTTCAGTATTTCCCACCGAGCTGATTTTAATCCTACCAACTCTAATGTGCAGGTGGGAACTTCTCATAGAACCAAAGGTGCAGATTTTGCATTAGAGAGCATTCACAACATCAGGGAAGCCTTGCCGGAACTCTGGGAAGCCGAAGAGAAGTCGGAGAAGGTCAGGTATTCCGGCAAGGTTGCGATAGAGACATCCGTGACAGCGTAGGTGATGGCATAAAAAATAATATATATGTAGAAAGAAAATATGTGTTTGGCTCTGTGTCTAGTTTCGTTATGTCCTGTGAAGTTGATGCTGTAAATCTGTAATACTGTAAGATAGGTCATGATCATTTAATAAAAAAAAACTCCTATTTCCACCTTTTTTAGGTTTACTTTTTCGGCTTTGAGCTTGGTGTTTCACTTCACGTAGCGTCCATTGCCACCGACCACCTGCGCTCTCTCTAATTATTATAACTTCCTCTATTTGATGCTTTCTCCGTTTCGCTCTTTAGATATTGGCCTCATCTTTGCTTGCCAGTAGCCAGAGTCGTACGTTCTGGGTTGGCAAATAACGGAAAGGGTGAAAAGACTATGTCAAGCTCGAGAAGTCATTGTTTATTAACGAGACAGAGTCAGAGATTTCTATTTTTTGCCTTTACTGGTCTCTTTTATTTTTAATAATCCATCAAGATAAGATCAATAAAATAAAACAAGAGCCACGAGACTTAATGACAAATTAATAATTCGAGATAGATAAAAGGATATATTATTAAAAATAACAGTTAAAGTGAAGCTGGAATGGACTATATAATATAGCCATAGACACACACATTCTTAGTGAGAGACTTGTGATGCGCATGGATCATCATCATCCACATAAACTATCATCATCCCCTGTCCATGTATCATGCAATAAATAATCTTCCACGCATCCTGCAGCTGAGCCAAACCAACACTGTTCATTGTTCAATTATTTGTGCTTCTTACAAAGCAAAGACCACCCATATATATACCTATACCTGTGAGGCTGTAACTCCTCTTGAATGCATGCTTTTTAGTAAGCTGTGGGGCTGTGGAAACTCAAAGCTGCAAAATGAACTTGAAGCTAGCTATTGCAGCTTTAATTTCTCTCAGAAATGGAGGCCCTTACCAGATGAAATGATTTGCAGGGAAAGCTTTTCAGACTTAATTGGTACAACGTTGAAATCCTTTGTCCTCCCATAGAGTATTTGCTCATCATCCATGATTGCACTCTATAGCTTAAACGGGTGTGTCTTGGTTCAATGTATGTGCATGGGCTAAAGGAGAATGATGCCAGCCTATGTGCATGTATATGTACGTACATGGATGTTGAATGATTAATTTATATATTGGTGAGAATGGTTTATAAATATTAAATAAATATTACACATATTTAAAATGTTTCTAAAATTTATTGTCGTTGTCAATATAATTGTTATTAAGGGAGGGCTTATGCGTGATTGAACCGCTTCGGAGAAGCTTCCTACCATAGCTTTACTGGAAAGTTGATTTTTTTTGGTCATGCGAGTCTATTTTCGGCTTTCGAAATGTTTACCACACGGCCACACGGGGGATGATGACTTTTCAGGTTTCTCTGAGGATGTAATGCCAACAGCCACAAGTACGTAGTATTTTCTGAGTTTAAAAAATATATGTAAGAATTACGTCTCAAGAAAAACCATAGACTATGGAAAGTCTGATAAATAGGGAACAAGTCATTAGTCCCCATTATGCCTGACGGGGCATGTTGAGCAAGCTCGTAAACTACTCGATTACATAGCGAAATGTAAGATGTAATGAGTATATAGTGTAAATAGAAAAGGTGGAGCGGTGGAGCAAAGGCAGTCGGTATATATATCTCTTCCTCCGCGAATTCATGTCTAACATTTCAATTAAATTGAAAAAAAAGAAAAAAAAATAATATTTAATAATCATAAGATGACCTCAATTTGCATTTTCCCCGTACCCTCTCTCTCTCTCTCTCTCTCTCTCTCTCTAAACTGCATCAATAATTAGGATAATTATTAGATACTTCAACGTAAAATAGCCCACTTGTCTATTTTGGTTTGGACTTGGCTGGACATTATTTCTTAGGCCTTTTTCTTTATTTTTCAAATGCCTTTATCATTTATATCCAACATTGTGTATCATAAAATTAGTCTTTTTTTTTTTGGAAGTAGCACCCGTTCGGTTAATTTCATTCATCAGCAAGCAAGATTATAAGAATCCTCAAGTATATATATCCCTAAGGCTGTATTAGTTGCTGTGAAACTTTATTTGTACTACGACAAATGCATGGGAGCGCAAACGAAAAAAAAAAAATGAAAATTCTTGTTTTATTTTGTTTTGTTGCGTCTTAATTTATTTTATTTGTATTGCAATCAAATAAAATAAGCTAAAATTTGAAATAAAAATAGGTCAGAATTTATATTTGCACTATCATAATTTTATATCAATGCAAATTTATTTGCATTGCAACCAAACACAGTATAAATGACAGAAGGACAATCCCCCTCCCAGGTGTAACTAGTGCTAGCCCCCCTCTAACAGCTAACTTAATAAGCAAGGGTGTTCTAAGCAACGCAATTTCAAAATAACAAGTGTATCATAAAGTTACTTGATTAAGGCCATGTTTGGGTGTGTTTAAAAATAAGTGTTTATTTGGGCCATTAAACACTTATTGATATTTGGGAAATAAGTTCGAAATAAGTGCTTATTTTAAAAATAATGATTTATTTTGTAAGCCCAAATTTCCAGTTCTTTTTAAGTGCTTATACAATAAGCACTTACTCAATTTTAAAAATAATGATTTATTCCTAGTTGAATTTTATAAAAGTACTTGTATGAAAACAATTTTAGGAAAGTACTTTTATAAAAGTACTTTTATGAAAGCACTTTTACAAAAGCACTTTTGTGAAAGCACTTTTACAAAATCACTTTTGTGAAAGAACTTTTACAAAAGCACTTTTGCGAAAACACTTTTATAAAAGTACTTTCATGAAAAACACTTTTACAATAATATTCTATAAAAGCATTTTTATAAAAGTACTTTTATGAAAGCACTTTTATATAAGTACATATATAAAAGTGCTTTCATAAAGTACTTCCATAAAATTTCTGTTGTAAAGGTACTTTTTAAAAATGCTTTCATAAAAGTACTTATATAAAAGTTCTTTCACAAAAGTACTTTTATAAATGTGATTTCATAAAAGTGCTTTCATAAAAGTGTTTTTATAAAAGTGCTTTCAAAGGGTATATTTTGAAAATTTGAGAGAAAATAAAGGACAAAATAGTCACAAATGCTTATTAGAGAAAAAGGATTACCAAATGCCCAATATAAAATAAGTGCTTATTTAAAAATTAAGCACTTGAAAAAGTTGGGTGCTAAATGCAAATAAGTGCTTATTCAAATAAGCACTTGTTTTTAAGCACTTATTTTTAACTTATGCACTCCCAAACATGGTCTAACTATTAATTGTAATCATGAGTCGGTTCATGGCAGCAAAACTAGTTGCAGAATTGAAACTCCCAAGCTTACAATGCAGGGTGCCTCTCCTAGTACTACAATGTATGGTCGTGAAAAAGATTTTCTTCTTCTGGCTCATTTACCCAAATCCCAGATGCACATCAATGAATTGAATAGCGATTGGTTCACTTGAGAGTTCTAAAATACTGCTTCATCCTTTGGCCTATGCAAGGGTTACCCATGGAGGGCAATCGACAAAAGCGGTTTCTAATATATATACACACACACTGAAGTAGACCTTGCCATGTCAACAGTCCTCTCCTTGCTCCGTTACCCAAATCGAGCAATTCTAGAGGGGGAGCAAGATTCCCTTTAGAAGCAATAGGGTTGCCACCTAACATTGCTTATCTTCTTTTTATTAGGAAACTATCCCCCACTTTCTCCTAAATTATCTCTATCTCTCTCCCTAATTCCTATTTATCTCCTAAATTGTCTCTAACTCATATTTATCCTCTCCCTCACTTTTCACCTATATCTATCTAAAGAAAGTTTCAATTAAAACATTTAACAATTATTCAAATATTATCATGAAATTATGTTAATAACTTTAAAATATTTATTAAAATCACAAAAAAAAATTATAATAGGTTTAATAATATTCATATTATTAACAATTTTATATTTTTATGAAATTCATAATGAAATTGTGTAAGAACAATATAAATTACAATTTATGGATTATTCAACTTAATAACTAAACTAATATTTTAAAAAATTATGTAAATGAAAAAATATTAAAAATAGATAAATAGTTATGAAACAAAATATTCAAAATTACATAATAAATTTAAAGAAATAAAATTTAAATAACAAAAAAGATTAAATATTTTACATATTATTTAAATATATAAATAATGAAATATTTATCATATTATTAATAAATAATGAAATATTCATATTATGAATAATTTTATATTTTTATGAAGTCTATAATGAAATTATGTAATAACAATATAAATTATAATTTTATGGATTATTTTAATGAAATATTTAAGATAACTAAATTTTAAATAGTTAAAATAACGAAATTATGTAATAAATTTTGAAACATTTTCTTAAGAGTAGAATAATAATTATAATAGATTCCATAACATCTAAATTAATAATAGTTTTATATTTTACATAATTAATAAAAAAATTAATTTTCCACCCCATCCCTGGTGGTGGGGCGGGTTAGAGGCGAGGCACCCATTCCCCATCAGGAATGGGGAATCTCCAAATTTTCCCTACCCCAAGGCAACCACCTAAAAATAATCTAATTTATGGATATTTTACAAATAGGATTATGAGAATTTGGGGTATTTTAGGAATTAGATTATGACAATTTAAGGATATTTTATAAATGGAATTGGGAGATCTTAGGATTATAAGAATATGAGGAAAAACTTAGAGATATTTTAAAAGTCAATACTAAATCTATTAATATTTTACTAATTTACCATCGGGTTTGGGGAATTATATGCAAACCCCGTCCCTTCCTCGTCCTTGATTTGGAACAAAAATATTTTCCCCATCCCTATTTAAGATTCGAGAAAGCTTGCTCCGTTCGAAGAGGTTCGGAGAGGGGAGGGTATTATTTATGTATTATTAATAACTAAATCATATCTTATATATTATTTCAAAAACAAAAAAAAAATAGATTAAATAACAAAATTATGTTATAACTTAAAAATATTAAAATCACAAAAGTAATTATAACCAACGTGGCACCCCTCCCTGTCCCTCGCCCCTGTAGTCAAGACACTCTACCTCATCCCCGCCCTGTTCCTGGTGGTGGGGCAGGTTGGAGGTGAGGCACCCATTCCCCATCGTGGATGGGGAATCACCAAATTTTCCCCACCTCGA